CTTCTTAACTGAGGATTATCATGCACAATGTGCTTGAAATGCATCACGACCTAACCAATTTTCAAATGAACCATTAAAGATGAAATTTTTATTTCTGGTAACTTTAATCTGGATTGTCTAGGGAGACTGAACAAACGCAGGCGAGAGAAAACCTTTCACTATTAGAATCATTACTATTACCTTTTTGAATTAACATTCCGGGAAGCAATAATTTTAACTGACTTATAATTTGAAAATATTCGTTTTCAAATTCGACATACTCTTTATTTTCTATATCTAAAATATTTTTTTATACTTTCCTGATCAGAGATTGATTCGTCCTGATACAGCAATGCTTCAATTTCTCTTTGATATTCATCAAATTGACACAAAAAAGAGGTTTCTGCCTTATCAAATCTACTTTTGCAACTGACTTAGCACCAAATCCGTGAGGGTTTTGGAATCAACTGATCGTAAATAGTTCTTGAGACGGGTTAATTGCCCTCTAATAAAACCGCGCTGGCGTTTTAATTTACAAATTTCTTGACATTTTCTCTAAAAAAACTGAAAGAAAACACTAGACAAACCCAAAAAATCTCACAAAGCAATGAGTACAAATATATATCCCCTATCTCCTTAACGGAACGAACTCACTTGACTAAATATTCAGCTTTCAACAACCACCAAAACCATATTATCAACAATCCATCGTTGCATTAAAGACTTCAAACAGCAACGTAGATGCCACAACTTCTAAATACGGCAGGTCGGCAATAGAACGTTTTTCTTCGACAATGAAAACTTCCAAGAAAAAAGGCTGGTATCACATCTAATTCGGCGCGAATGGACCAAATGTAATCTCTCTAAATGGACTGTATAATACAAATTGATTTGAGTCCGTTTGTTAATGGAATATTATATTTATACTATTTTTACAATCTGTCAAGATATTATTTAGATTTGTAAAAATAGTATAAATATAATATTCCATTAACAAACGGACTCAAATCAATTTGTATTATACAGTCCATTTAGAGAGATTACATTTGGTCCTTCGAGCCGGATTAGATGTGATACCAGCCTTTTTTCTTGGAAGTTTTCATTATTACATGATATATATATATATATATATATGCATATATACCTATATATATATATATAACAATATATAATATATATATATATATATATATATATATATATATATATATATGCTATAGATTTATTAAACCGCTTATACGAGCCCAAAAACTACGTTGCTTCATTGGCCTCAGACCCGATTTCGACATTTCCAGGCCCGGGGTCGGGTCTGAGTACGATTTCAGTGGTTATCGTCTAGAACGGTTTCCCCACTTCCCCTGACCAAATTTCAGCTGGGCCTGAAAAAATGGTTTTATGTTTTTTATATACGATTGGGGGTACACCGGTATTGTCACGGGCGGCGCCACCTTCGACATTAGTATAAGTGTATAAGCCGATTTACGTTGAATCGATGTATTCAGACCCAAGAATCGGCAACACCGTAAAGCAAACTATTAAAGGGAAATGAGGATATTATGAGCGTGTTATAATTGTTAGAAAATAAAATACTTATACTAATCAGAATATTAAGAGATTCAGAAAAAAAAATGAAAACAGTATTCTTTTAAGATTGTTTCTAGTAGTTTTATTTAAAAATATAAATAATTTAAGGTCTAAATTGCTGTTATCGTTGGACTTGTGAAGTAATTAAACTTTTATTGTCGGAAGCGGTCGTTCGGCTAATAAATACTTGAAACAAAATTATTTCGATCGACGCGCGATGGGTCAAAAATTGTACAAGTGAAATTTATTGCGATCCTATGATTTCGTTGTAGAAGTACCTTAATTTTTTTTTTCGTCGGAATCGATAATAAATAAATAAATGCCTTTATTGTCAAAAAAATTTTCAATTTGTAGACAAAGGTAAACTAACAAACTAAGTAAAAAACAAGGTACACAAACAAACAAACAAAAGATAATACAAAATATTATACAAATAATATTGCCAGTCTTATTGTTAAAATAAACATTTATAAATGTTTACAATGTCAAAGAACAAAAAAAAATAAAAATAATATTCAAAAATATTTAGCTAGTTTATAGTAAAATATCAATGACCTCTAAATAAATTCATTTCGATGTCATTAGTAAATATAGCAATAGCAAACATTAGACCAGTGTTTTTCGTAACGGAATATTAAAAAATGGATGAAAAAATGTTTATTTAGATAACTTGGAAGTTATAAACTTTTCTAGAATAAGCTTACTATCGAGAATAAAAGTACATAAAATTTTTACTAATTTTGCTATTTACGGTTTTGTATATCTGACTAAACATTTCAGGTCAAGAGCCAGTTGAAAATGGTCGAAAATTGTACAGGGTGAGTAAACTATAGAGTATCCTTAGTATCTCGGTTATCTTATAACTTATCCAAACTTATTAGAAAACGTAGACTGACTCTCATAGGGTTTTCTGACGATTTTTAGTGAGTGACATATTTCACGAAGGTCAAAAAATGAAAAATTTAATTTTCTTTCCTCCGCTAAAAGTCGGCTTTTCGTTTAAGAATCATGATCGTATTATTTTTTCATATCTTAGACTTCTGTAAAAAAATCATTACCTAATTTTGAATTCTACTATAAAAATAAAAATAAAATTGAAAAAAACAGGTTTTTTTGAAAATCTCGACCTAACCGTTTGAGTTAAAGAATTAAAAATTTAGGTGAATTATTTTGATTCGACACCAAATCGATCCATAAACTTCATCATCAAGCCATAAACTTTTTCAAAAATCCGAAAGACGCATATATTTGACCTCACAAAATTGCAATTCTTTCACAATTTGACAGACTCTCTATCTCCAGTAGTTTCCGAGATACCCATAGAGAACATCGTAGAAAACTCACCCTGTATATATTAAATTGTATAACTTTAGAAATTTAGTTATAATAATTTAGTTATAATAAATGATAATTTCATTGAATTATTTTATAAATAAAACAACATTTCTGAAAAAAATAACTTTTATCTAGAAAACAATACATATTTTTTAGTTATAAGCATATCTACAGTGTTTCGAAAAAACTTCCTATAAGGTTTGATATTTCAAATTTTCACTCCAACCTTTTATTACAAAACATGCAGGCTATAAAAGTGCACTTTTTAATGTATTTTACATTAGTATAAAGTGTATTTGTATCACCCTGTACAGGGTGGCGCCTCTCATACGACGCGGAGGCTCCAGGTAGAACGGTAGTTTATACCGAAATGAAATTTTGGCAGCGTATGTAGGTTCATTGAAAGCATTTTAGCAAAATATATAAATTTCTACAGGGTGTCCCCAATAAAAATTACGCATGAAAGTTGTTTTTTGTAATGGAATGCCCTATACAGGGTGCCCCAGAAATAAGTGCAAATATTTTAAGGGGTGGTAGATCTGGCCAAAAGAAACATTTTTTATCTTTACCGTTTTTCAAATAAGTCCAAAATAACCGAGTTATTTTACTTTGAAAATTTCCAAAAATCATTTTTTTCTAAAATTTTGAGAACCACTGGATGTTTTCTGGATTTTCTTTCATGTAAATTTAAGCTACTACCTATGCTGCCATATTATCAAGAAATTATGTTTTTTAACTTAAAATTAAAAAAATTTCCAAATTTTTTTTCAAAAAATTCCAAATCATTTTCAAATTTTTTTTTGCAAAAAATACCTCATGGGCGTTTTTCTGAGGCCGAAATATACTACCAGTTAAAATATTTGCACTTATTTTTGGGGCACCCTGTATATTAATTAATTTTCTGATTCTAGGTGGACAAATAAAGGCGACTTTCATTAAAGACACATATGCCTAAAATGTAGGAATTTTGACATATTTTCCATTTTGTGAAAATTAAAAATAATTTTTAAATTTCAATAACAACTACCTAAATTGTAATTTACCCATTATAGCCTGATATTTAGTTAAAATAGTCATTGTATGTTAAACCAAATTAAAATTTGACCCGAAAAGTTATACAGGGTGACACAAAATTAATATTGAACATAGTTACATTTAAAAGCGCGTTACTACTTTATTTTAAATGGAGCATCCAGTATATTATTCCGATATTTTATGTATCAGATATCTTTAAAATCGTCGGCCTATCCCTTAGGCAAAGATTTTACTAGGTATTTTTATACGTCAGACATATCATAGCCACCTATATTTATGAAATAAAATAAGATCTACTGACACTAAATCATAAAAATTAAAATATCTAGGAAAATCTTTGTTTGACGGGTAGGTTACCTTAATAATATTTCGAAGAGACATGAATTGCCCATTGGATATTGGAATAATGTACTAGGTGTTCCATTTAACATAAAAGAGTATTTTTTTTAAAAAAGTGACCAATATTAAATATTAATTTTGTCTCACCCTGTATAACTTTTGGGTAAAGTTATAATTTGATTTAAGGTATAATAGTTATTTTAACTACATATTAGTAGCTAATAATATACATAATATAGGTAGCTTTTATTGAAATTTAAAAATTGTTCTTCATTTTTAGAAAATGTTAAATATGTCAAAAACCATACATTTAGCCACTACTTCTCTAATAAAACTCACCTTTCTCCTAGAATCCGAAAACCAGTTAATATAGGGTGTTCCATCACAAACAACAAAATAAATACAAACTGTCGTTCTCCTTGGAGCATTCGCGTCGAATGAGAGGCACGAGCTTGTATATCGATAAATACCGTATGATCGAAAAAAACGGCGTCCAGTTGGCTGGGAAATGGTGACTGATGACATTCCCCATATAAATTTACATATAAAATGACTGCGATCTTCATTTCATAGCCGTCGCTGACGCCGTTTTTTTCCGATCATACGGTATATTTTAAAAATGAACATCACAATTGCCTGCATATTTTATAACAAGATGGGAGAAAAAATCTGAAATAATAAATATTGAAGAACACTGTATGATTGTATTATAAGATGTTATAGTAATATTACAAATTTTTAATACGGTATGTGTTATATATCAGTGTCTTGATTTTGGACCAATCTAAGCCTTTAAATAATGTTTTATTCTCATTCATTAATTTTAAGCATTCGTCTTTTTTTGGCAATTTCCTTTCTTTGATGTGGTTTTTAAATGATTTTAAAACTACTTGCTTCTGCTTTTGCGTCCAAGAGTGACGCATTTTTGTTTTAATGAAATTTTCAGTAGAAATATTTGCATCATTCTGAAGTGGCGTATTTTCTGTTTCTGTATTTTCTGTTTCTATATTTTCTGTTTTTGTATTTTCTGTTTCTATATTTTCAGTATTTATATTATCTATATGAACCGGTTCCTTATCCTCTTCTTCATTGGAGTCTTTTGTATTTACTTCGTCATCGTCAAAATATTCATTTTCTGTCAACTCTATATCTGCCAGTTTTTTCCCTTTGAATTGCACACCTTTTCCTGCATTCATCAAAAGAAGAACTTTTGCAACTTTGGCAGTTTGGTACACATCTTCTGGAAGCCTTAAAATAATAGAACATTTCCAGATATAAAATAATGTCTGTAACATATATTTGTGTAACAATATAACTAACAAGAATTTTTACAAGAATTTAAAAATAGGATTGTCAAAAAATTAAATTAAAAAATGTATATATCTCGTTATTCTGTTTTTATTTCAGTTTTTTACTATATGAATGATATTATTGAGACTAAATATGAAAGCATAGAGATAACTAACATTACCTGTAAAACTCTAAATGAGTTTTCTCCGTGTGTCCCATAAATTTTGCCATCTGTTCAATTTCATTTTTTTCAAAATTGATTACCTGCAATATAGTTGCAATTTGTTTCCGCAACCTTGTACTCGTGAGGTATTCAGGATTTTTAGCTCCACATTTATGTGCAAGTTTTCTCAAAACTAAACTCCCATTTATCCATCGATCAGCTGATCCGGGATTGGCAAAAACGTATTTATTTGATCGTGGCACAATATCTGTTGTTTTTCTGATTTTTAGTAATGCGTCTACAAAATTTTGCATCTGTTTAGTAAATAATATTGGCACGGATTTACTACCCTTGCCAAATACAATTACTCTTTTGAATGATGAGGATACGGCTCTTTCCAAATCTGTCAATGCATTCAAACATTCGTGCTGATTTGTTTCCAAAAAATCACTTTCATATGTTTTAATTTCTAAAAATTGCACTTCACCTATCCTTTTTCTATTAAAAATCAAAATTAGTGCTAACGTACATTCTGCCAGTATTTTATAATTTGGTACTAGATTTTCGTTAGTAATTAATTTGTGATAAGCTTCTCTAGCTAATTTTATAACATATTCATTAAACATTTTTACATCTTGAGTTAGTGGAATTATTTTTGGTTTGATATTTTTATTCTCATTTAAAATTTTATTTGCGATGCTCGAAATGTCATTACACCAATGATTTTTAATAATGTCACAAAATTCTTCTATATCTCTACATATTTCTTTTCTTTTTTTAACTTCAAAAGATCCAATTAATGGATTTTTAGTAATAAGGGCTTTTTTGGCTATATTACATAATTGTTGTAAATTTGTCCCCATGTGGAGAGCCAACGAAGGGGCCTTAAATATTTTCTTCTCGGCATCATAACCACTAATAATTTTGACACTAGTCAATACCTTATCATAATATTGCGGCTTCAGAATAAAAATAAGGTTTTCAAATGAAATCATCTTTTCCAAGGAAATTTTTAGTTTAGCCATTTCCCTCATTTTGTTTGAGACGTGAACATTAATCTGAATTCGTTTATGCTTGTTGAGCAGTGACTCACCATAAAGACATATCAGTGCATCTTTCTTAACAGTATTGCTTACTGCATCTGGCCGCATTATGTTGAGAACCTCTTTTTTAAGGCGACTCTTATTCAAATAATTTCCCAGTAAACCTGTTGCAGCCAAAAAGGTCTGAGATTCTGATAAGTGATACCTCGATTTCGTAGGAATATTATCTATATTTGAATTGCACATTTTCTTATGTTTCCACAAGTAACTTTTGGAATAAAATCCTAAGCAATAATTACAAGGAAAATAATTGGATTCCATATCCTCCATTTTATTTTGACTACATATATTCCGAGGCAATTGAATCGGATTAATATGGTTGGTTTGTTGGGCTAAAAAAAATCGACCTTTTTTCCTTAAAGCTGCGAAAGCCTTTCTTCTCTCTGCACTTTTTGCCGGCATTGCCATTATTTTTTGAATATCTGGTTCATCTAGATGTTGTCGCATTAAATGACGTGTAAAATGACCCACTTCCGTATAACAAAAAATACAAAGCACCTTGTATTCTGGATATTTAATTTCTACTAGTGTATCATTTACCTAAAAAAAATATAAAATATAATAATTAAGACTAATTATACATTCCCCAACATAATTTGGTAACAACGTAAAAAATATTTTTTAAAATTTTAGTAACTGAAATAAATTAAATGGAATTGTTTCTGCAATGTAAACGAATAAATTTGCGTACTAAAGTTGAAATTCGAAAAAGCTCTATGCAGATCTCATGTTTATGATTTTTACTCCAAACTATATATATATATATATATATAATAAGCAAACTATAAGTGGCTAAACTCAGACTTAATATTACTTTGAAGTTATATAAATTATAAAAGTACTTACATTGTTACAATACTTAGAAACAGTAAGCTTATTCTTCGTTGATGATTTTTTAACAAGGTTTGGTGTTTCTGTGTTTGAATTGGTTAGAACCGATGAATCTGTGCTAGAGGAAGCATTGGAAAGTATATATTCACTTCCTGATGATTCTTCAGGGCCATGACTTAAATCAATATCTTCATCAACGGGATATTCCTTCTTAACATTCTCAAGATAATTGAAAATTTTGTTAGGTAGTGAGACTTGAGGTAACGATTCTAACTGAAATTCTGTTAGTTTGCATTCTGTTAATTCAGCATCTGTTTCACATTGAGGTAAGTCTATAAATTTCTTTGTTAATTTTTTATCTCTACAGAGTGCCGAGTAGATTGCTTCTGATTTATTTGAAGGTGATATGTAAGTGGTACCAGACAGATCTTGAACATTTTCAGGAAAGTGGTAATAATCCAAACCATTTTTTTCTATAAAATTAATAATAATATAATAAGAATATAAATTCTTAAATAAGTGCAAATATTTTCAGGGCTGGCAGATCTCTATAAAAGAGACATATTTTCTCTTTGCCGTTTTTCAAGTAAGTCCAACTTTGAAAATTTCCAAAAAAAATAATTTTTGCTAAAATTTTGAGAACCACTGGATATTTTCTGGATTTTCTTTCTTGTAAATTTAATCTACTACCTATGTTGCCATATTATCAACAAATTATGTTTTATACCAAAAACTAAAAAAAATTCAAAAAAAATGTTTTAGAAAAAACCTCATAATCATGGTTCTGGGGTCGAAATATACTATTCCTAAAAATATTTGCACTTATTTAAGACTCACTATTTTTTGTGATTTTTCAGTAACTAAAGGTAAACTAGGTCTTAAATTATTGTTTAAATTATATTTTATTATACAGGGTGTTCTTTAATGACATGCTAATATTTAAGGACGTGATTCTTGGACCTATTCTTAGAAAAAAAGTTCATATGTATATCCTAAACTTTTCAGATACAGGGTGGAATTTTTTTTTAAATATATCTGATATATTTGATACACGTCTTCCATGCATCAAAATGCATATTTTGATATACAAAAAAATGTTTTAATTTTTAATTTTCTTTCAGCAACAGTCACCGCATCACACATTCAGCGATTTGATTCTGCAGTAAACTGAGTTTAATTTTTTTAAGCAAAAACTGTACGTCGGACGAAATAAATCAAGAGATAAGAACTGTTTAGAAATGATTGGGGATTTTGAAAATTATTTTTATTTTAAGAGAAGTCAGCGGTGTACCATTTTTTTCTTCAAAAATACTCAATGTAAAACCCGTATGGACGGCACTGGTTGAAATAAATAATATTTCTTGTACATCAAAAAAGGTATTTTGATGCATAGATGACGTATATCATGTTTCATACAGATATCTATAATAAAATCAGAGTTATGAAAAAAAGTATTTTTTTAGAAAGTTTTACCGCCCTGTATCTCAGAAATTAAAATGTTTAGGACGTACATTTATAAGAAGTTTTTCTCTTAGAATAGGTCCAAGAATCACACTCTTAAATATTAGCATGTCATTAAGGAAGACCCTATAGTATATCTTATGGTACGTATACATGGGCGCCGAGCTTTGGCCACGCGTTACTTTTATTGTTTTAACGAACATCTCGCGATCCATAGAAATCCCGGAAACATTTAGTGTAAATGATTTAATTAACTGTTGAATTAAATTTTTTACTCAGAATATCTCAAAATATAATGATTAAAAACTTAAATCTAATTGAACACTTTTTTTATTAAATATCACTACTACCAAACTTTACAGATTTTACTTCTGCTACAATGTACAAAGCAAAAACTATAAAGCCGCTGTATACGACTTACCCTTCGATTGCGATGTTTCCTGTACTGAACTATCTTCATAAAATTCAAATGATTCTGATTCAATATTAACAACTAAAACAGTAATTACTAAATTACTAATTATTAAAGCCTAAAAAAGCAACAAAAAAAAACATCATGTGTTTACGTTTAACGACAAAAATATTATTGTAAGCTGGAATTACAATGGTAGCGCTAATTTTAAAAATATTTTTATTGATATGGCAATTGACAGGGTGATTCAATTATATGGTTATTTTTAGATTAAAGTTGTAGTTTTTTAAGTGAAGTGCGGTAATTTTATTTTATTAAAATATTTTAACTTCTACAGGGTGGCTCAAAAAAGTGTGAGTGGTTCGAGATTATTTTTTTAAATGAAACACCCTATATATCATTACATTTTTGGCTTTCTTTCAGATCACATTATATTATCCTAAGATATGAGTAAATATATGTCGATAATTTCAGAGATATTAATAAATAAATAAAAATATTGTATTGTACTCAGGAGACAGAGTTCTTTCCACGTCTGAAATAAAAAGTGCAGGTCTGTATTTAAAAAAATTAAGTTGGCCTCTGTATCTCACAAATTATCAGCTAATTCTAAAATCCAAAAATACTATCAGATAGCCCTAATAAAGTGGCTATGAGAATGGGCAATTACTTTTTTGATTTTCTAAAAAGTAACGACAGGAAAAAATAAAACTGATTTTCCGAAAAATCCGTTTTTTCCAAAAAAACTCAGTAATTCTTGAAATTTTTAAAACTTTTTTGATGGCATCTTGGTGAACATCCCAAAGCGCAACTTTGCCCCGATTTAACCATGTTTGTATCTATTACGGTTACCGAGATACCAATGCTCGTACCTCGAATTTGTAGCACTTTGTATACTCACTTTGCTATAAATATTGTAATCTTAAATCATACAGGGTGTTCACGCCAAACTTTCTAAAATATAAAATAATTTTTCTTTGTTTTTTTTTTAAACGGAACACCCTGTATCGTATCTTTTAAAAAAAAATGTACATTTTTTGTATTTAAAGTATCTCAAAATTTTTAATGGTTACGCAGATGCACGCAGTATTATTTCATATGGCTCTTTCAACCGTAAAATACGAGAGAAAAATCATTGGGTGGCTTTGATAAAAATTTACTGTGAAAAATGCCAAATGAAATATAAAACCGCTAATATCTGTCAAACCTTAAACAATTTTAAATACACTAAACACAAAAAATATTCATTTTTTTAATTCTCCATCTATTGAAAGAATAATATTCAGGGTGTTCCCATTTAAAGAAAAATGAAGAAAAATTATTTTATATTTTAGAAACTTTAGCGTAGAATTTACGGGCATCCTGTATGATTTACGATTACCATATTTATACCAAGTAAGTACAGACCATCTAAAGTAAAAACCTAATATAGTTTTGTTTTCAGGATAGTTCTTGTATTTTTAATAATTTTTGAAGAAAGGCTGAAAAATATTGATTTATTACTTAGTTATTAATATATCTGAAACTATCGAAATATATTTACTCATATCTTAGGATTATATAAAGTGATCTGGAAATACAATAATGTACAGGGTGTTTCGTTTAAAAAAAATCATCCCGATCCACTCACTTTTTAAAGCCACTCTATAAAATATTTTCCTGAAATACATCTTAGCGCATACTTTAGGTTTGCACTTAAACAAAATTTCCAAGTTTTTTATTCTAGGAGCTACATATCCCCGACGCACTATTACCGGAACCCTGTATATTAATAAAACAAATTAATAATAGTTCAAAAAACTAAAAATCAAGCTTTTAGACCCACTCAGAAACCATTTTTCAAAAACTACTCCCTCAAAAACTATGTCTAAAAATACCCAACCCCTTCAACCCCTAAAAAAGTGAAAATCTCATCAAAAAAAACTCCAAAATTGCCCCAAATATACCGCGTCAAGAAATCATTACAAACACCTCGTTAGAAACCACACTAAAACCGACTCCTAAAAACCTACTCTGTCAGAAAGCATGCGTCAAACATTGAAAAACCTCCCAAAAACTACCCCGCATACAAATGCCTGCATATACAAACCTCTGGAAATGCTCTCCCTCTAAAGCCATTCCTTCTACAACCAAAACAACCTCCTTGACAAGCCATCCCTTCAAAAGCAACCCCTAATTTTATTGTTAGTGGTCCTAGATACGTGTGTAAATTGTTTCAATTGTTTAATTGGCGTCTTAAAGTGGGTGATAGCAACGTGTACATATTCCGTTACATAACTACATATTTACAGGTGAAACTAATTAAAGCATGTTAAAAAATTATGAGTTTTCTCTCATTTCTGCATATTTTATATAAATGAAAATGAAAAATATATTTTTTTAATATTTTAAAATAATAAATGGAAAACATATTTTTAACCAAAATATCGAAAAAGCTATAATGCAGTGCGAAAATAAATTTGAATCACTCTGTATACTAATTATAAATATTTTTTTAAATGTGACTACCACTAACAGCATATTTTTTTATATAATACTGATCATAAAGAACAAGGAACACGCTATAGCGCCTTTAAAAAAAAAACATATTTTGTATACATTTTTATTTAGGGTGACCTGAAATATGTCTCCTCAAAAAATATAACCCTGTAAAATAATAACTTTAAAAATAATATATCCACGCTGAAATATATTTAATAATTATGTTCAGCTTAGCAAATGTCAGTTATGATTTAAACTTGAAATTTTTTCAAATTTTAACGGTTAAAATTTGATATTGATTACTCTTAAAATATGTTGACAATTTGTCCTATAATTTAAATATAAAAACTATAAGAAAAATAAGTAATTATACTTTAGTCGAAATATCCCCAGGGGCAAACTCCTTACTCTTTCTTTAAATGTATTTTTCTTATGTTAATAAAATTATTTCAAAAAGTTACAATCTATATAGTTTTACGTTAAAAGATTAATTATTAATAAAAAAATTACTAATATTAATGCTACTTACCTTTTGGTTGTAATGCTAAAGCCGCTATTCTCTTTCCACGATTCATTTTGAAATATGTAGGTGAATTGATATGTTTCACCGGAAAATTTCAACTCAGACTGACGACACCAAAGACCGTTTAACGGTTAAAACGATATATACAGAAATTCTGTAAATCCCCTATGGATTCCTTGCGGTTCCTTTGGGCCGTTTGACGTCGACGTCTCATTTCTCTATCTCTATAGTAAGTATCACCAAAGAAGAATGGTATCGAAGAATGGTAATAAAAAAATATTGTTAAAATATACAGTGGGTATGCTGTTATTTATCCATACCTGTGATCCATAGATAATGCAGAATTTAAGAAAAAAATAAACACGGGATGCTTTAACGATTAGCTTTAAAATTTAAAATAAAATCTACAATATTATGAAAAAACCGAATATAATTATTTTGAAATAAAAAAATTCTTACTCTAGCACTAAATATATATACTTACGGAAAATTAAAAAAAAACGGTGAAAAATTATTTTTAGTTTTTATTTTATAAACTTTTATAAATTTTTGTTGTAGAAGTACCTAAAACTGTTTTCATCAGAATCGATCGTCGTGTCAAAAAGATGTACGAGCACCTTACAATTTATTTGAATGCTATGCTTTCGTTGTAGAAGTACCTAAAAAAAATTTTTGTCGGATTCGACCGTCGCGCGTCGCGTCGTGCCAAAAAATTGTACGAGTACCTAAAATTTTATTTCGGTTCATGATTTCATTGTAGAAGTACCTAAGAAAACAGATCGTCGTATCAAAGAATTGCACGAGTACTTAGACTTTTATTTCGGTACTATGATTTCGTTGTAGTAGTACCTAAAATGTTTTTCGTTTAAATCGATCGTCGTATTTGTGTTTTAACATTATTCGATACAAAATTACACTCTGAGGGTGCATCCACACTATCCTCAAAACGGCGTATCGGCGTAACGGCGTAACGACCTTGAACCGATTTCCAGTAATTCTATTGGCTGAAAAAAAGTGTAGGTTTAAAAGCGTGAACTTCTGGGAATTCCCTATTTGTATAGTCTGGGAACCACCTACTTTTCTGGGAAACACATACTTTCAAGTTCAATTTATTAGAATTGTGATTAAAAGAAAGCACTATTCTCATTCATATTGCGATTAATGAATATTAATATTAATAATATTATACTACCATATATTACTCAAATTAAGTTTTCGAATACATAGTAAGTAAACATAGATAGAAGATAGAACATATTATAGACATGCAACCATAGAACGTGTTTGTTATATTTATATGGTGTTGGTAGATAGCATCGAACAGAAAACTGAAAATAAACGTATTACTGTAGCAATAAACATTTTTGTTACACTAAAATTACTATTTTAGATCTTAGTGAACGTAGTAATGTAATAAAATTAATTATTGTACTGATTACCTACCATATAATCGAGAAAAAAACGGCGTCAGCGGTGGCATGAAATTAAGATTGCTGTCATTTTATACCGGGTGCGTCTCAAAAGTGGCTCACCGCTATAACTTTTTAATTTTTTTAGATAAAAAAACGAGATTTGGTATGTTAGTATATGACATAAATTAGGAATGATTGATGTATTCAATTGTTTTTGGTCACTTTATTTGATAGAAAATGACACTCTGAATCGAATGACATATCATATGCCAACTTTTGACATTCTCGCTTTAAAAAAATTGTATTTTAAATTTCAATCTAAAGTGCCATGGCTGTGTTAAAAACACTAATTTTTAATCAAGGAGCCTTGGAAAAATAGATTTGATAATCTAATGATTTTCGTGTCTTGTCCGGGCCCTTTGTTATAAGATGCCTAAATCGTATTTTTAATCATCTCAATTTTTCCAAACGGAACAAGGAGCCTCCGTATTAGCATATTTGGAAAAAGCATTTTTTTACGAATAATTTGGTACCACACACATGGTATTTTGAGTCAAATTATCATTATGAAGCGCATGTTACAATTTCAAATAAACCATATGCGAAAATGTCAAAAATTTTATCCTCCGTATTGGCGTAACGGAGTAACGACCTTGAATAGATTTTCAGTAATTCTATTGGCTGAAAAATTCATCTGTCAGAAATTTTATCTGTCAAATTCATCTGTAAAAAAATTCAGCCAATAGAATTACTGGAAATCGATTCAAGGTCGTTACGCCGTTACGCCGATACGACGTTTTTAGGATAGTGTGGATGCACCCTCAGAGTGTAATTTTGTATCGAATAATGTCAAAACACAAATACGACGATCGATTTAAACGAAAAAAAATTTAGGTACTACTACAACGAAATCATACAACTTTTTGATCGATTCCGAGAAAAAAAAATGAGGTACTTCTACAACGAAATCATAGCAACAAAATAAATTTTTAGGTACTCGTACAACTTTTGACCGATTCCGAGAAATAAAAATGTTAGGTACTTCTACAACGAAATCATAGTACCAAAATAATTTTTTTAGATACTCGTACAATTTTTTGACACGACGATCGTACTGATTAACTACCATATAATCGAGAAAAAAAACGGCGTCAGCGGTGGCATGAAATGAAGATAGCTGTCATTTTATACCGGGTGCGTCTCAAAAGTGGCTCACCGTTATAACTTTTTAATTTAATTTTTCACAGATGAATTTGACAGATAAAATTTCTGACAGATGAATTTTTCAGCCAATAGAATTACTGGAAATCTATTCAAGGTCGTTACTCCGTTACGCCGATACGGAGGATACAATTTTTGACATTTTCGCATATGGTTTATTTGAAATTGTAACATGCGGTTCATAATGATAATTTGACTCAAAATACCATGTATGTGGTACCAAATTATTCGTAAAAAATGCTTTTTCCAAATATGCTAATAATAAGGGAGGCTCCTTGTTCCGTTTGGAAAAATTGAGATGATTAAAAATACGATTTGGGCATCTTATAACAACGGGCCCGGACAAGACACGAAAATCATTAGATTATCAAATCTATTATTCCAAGGCTCCTTGATTAAAAATTAGTGTTTTTAACACAGCCGTGGCACTCTAGATTGAAATTTAAAATACAATTTTTTTAAAGCGAGAATGTTAAAAGTTGACATATGATATGTCATTCGATTCAGAGTGTCATTTTCATCGTTTCGTTTTTTTATCTCAAAAAAATTAAAAAGTTATAGCGGTGAGCCACTTTTGAGACGCACCCGGTATAAAATGACAGCAATCTTCATTTCATGCCACCGCTGACGCCGTTTTTTTTCTCGATTATATGGTAGGTTTGGTTTGGTTTCCCATAAGGCCTTTCCCAGAAGTTCACGCTTTTAAACCTACACTTTTTTTACTACTTTACTGCTATACGAATTTTATTTAAATTTAAATGATTACATTACACTTTTAAACATTTTGTTTACAGTTTCATCCAAACTCAACTCGCCAGATTAGACTTATTAGAAATTATTTATATTTTGTGACGGGGATTCGTTACAATTATTTTGTTGGGTGTCGAACCATAAATTTTATGATAAAACTGGAAGAATTTCAACAAAACACTTTTATTAATAAACTTTACGTTTCCGTGACAAATCAAATCATATGTTTTTTCTAACTTCTACCTACTGTCCCTCGCTCTTTTTTATAATGGACTCGTCCAAGCGGTCCGAGAGGGGCCCTATAATAATAATAGTTCTCTGTTACAATTTTTAAATAAAATTTGTAGAAACAATCTTAAAGAATACTTACTACCTATTTTGATTTTTTTCGTCTGAATCTCTTAATATTCTAAATGAATACACTTTACTTATTAGATAAATATACACATGGCATATATGTATATGATTCCAAAAAACGGCGTCAAATTACCTTTGAAATGACAATCGTCAGAATCAATCGTCGTGTCAAAAGAGTAATACGAGAATACCTAAATATTTATTTCGATGTTATGATTTCGTCGCAGAAGTACCTAAAGTATTTTTTCATCTAAATCGATCATCGTGTCAAAAAATTATTACAGTACCTAAAATTTATTTCGGTACTATTATTTCGTATTTGTAGTAGTTCTAAAAGTTTTTTTTTCGTCTAAATCGATCGTCATGTCAAAAGAATTGTAGTACCTAAAAAATTCCACCGTGCTATGATTGCGTTATAGAAGTACCTAAGATTTTTCATCTAAATCGACGGATGAACGAGTACCTAAAGACTTATTTCGGTGGTATGATTTCATTGTACTAGTAATTACATCAAAGTAATTACGATTGTCGTATATATGATAGTGAGTGTACGATAAGGCCGTTTTGTCTGATATTTCTCCCCACAGGAAAAAGTTTACACAAAAAGGTACCGTATGATCGAAAAAAAACGGCGTCGGGTTGGCTTGGAAATGATGATCGATGACATTCCCCATATAATTTTACATATAAAATGACAGCAATTTTCATTTCATAGCTATCGCTGACGCCTTTTTTTATCATAAATATGATAGTATTCAGATATTTCACAATAATTAATTTTATTACATTATTTCGTTCAGTGAGATCGAAAATAGTAATTTCAGTGAAACAACAATGTTGACTGCTACAGTAATACATTGTATATTCAGTTTATGGCTGGATGCTACCAATACCATGTAAATATAACAAACACGTTTTATGGTTGCATCTCTATAATATGATCTATCTCCTATGTTTACTTTGTATTCGAAAACTTAATTAGAGTAATATTTGATAATATAATATTCTTAATATTCATTGATTGAATATGAATGAGAATACTGATTTTTGTTTTAATCACAGTTCTAATAATTTAAACTTGAAAGTATGGGGCTCTATAAATAGGGAATTCCCAGAAATTGATGCTTTTAAACTTACATTTTTTTCCTATTTTACTGCTACATGAATTTTATCAGACGCAGAAAATTTAAATTATTACATTTATACTTTTAAAAATTTTGTTTACAGTCTCATCCAAACTCGCCAGATTAGACCTTATATTATTTATATTTTAAAATAAAACTAGTAGAAACAATCTTTAAAGAATGCTTATTTTCATTTTTTTTTGTCTGAATTTCTTAATATTCTAAATGAGCATCTTTTTTCTACCCATCGCTAGATTTTTGGCCGCCCAGTGTAAATTTTTAAATTGCCGCCCTCATGTCTGTATGTAATAAAAGAATAAGTTAAAAAAAATCCTTATAACAAAATAGAAAAAAGGTTAATGATAAATACAAACATACCATATTATTCCAAAGCACGGGGCGTCAAATTACCTTAGAAATGACAGTCGTCGGAATCGATCGTCGTGTCAAAA